CAACCTAGACTCCAAATTTATTCTTGTTCGTATTCCATTGTTTTCCTCCCTCCAAGTTGTCTTTCAGTGTGCCTTTCTTTCTTTCTTTCTTTCTTTTGCAGATATGTATGGACATATATATATATATATGCTTTGCTTGTATGCTTCATTGTTGCTGTTCTTATTGCGAGTTCAACTTTTATTCTCTTAAGTTGGCGTTGCACCCATGTATTATATAAATACACATACACACACACACAGAGAGAGAGAAGTATATATGTATGCATGTATGTATATAATACACACTCACAACGTGCATGCGTCTTGTATCTTATGCCACTCTTCACCCAAAAGGTTTTTGTTTTGTTTGTTTGTTTTTTTCTGCCTTTACAGACTGTCCATGTAGAACCTCCACCTCCGCACACGCGTCTTTGCGTGCACATGTATGCAAGATATATATATATATACAAAGTATATACAGGCATGTATGTTTGCAAAGTAACAATATACGGGTGTATGTAAGTACACGTTGGACACGGACAGGGGCAAGTAGAAGAGACAACGACACGAGAACAAAAAGAAAAACAAACAAACAATAAGAGAAAAGGTAAGAATCACAAAAGGAGGAAACGGAATAAAAAAGGTGGAGGGAAAGTAAAAAGAACAAAAAACAAGAAAAAAAAACAAGTCCAGCACAGTGAAGATTGCAATAGGGCATACGACGTCATCGCTTCCGTCCCTGAGTATTGCGGCCGCGGGCCAGTGCCAGTCGCGGTGAAACGAGGAGGCGTGGATGCGGTGGGGAAGGCGCTTCTCCTTCCGTGGCCTGCTTCCCTCCCTCCCTTAGTGTGGGGGCTGCTCACTTGGCTGCGGGGAGGCGTCTGCGCCCTGGGAGGGAACGACGTTGGCGCGGCACAGCGGGCACTCCAAGTGCTCAGACAGCCACCGCTTAATACAGTCCTTGTGGAAGCAGTGCCGGCACGGCAGCGCCACAACGGGGCTACTTGTCTCAACAACGCTCTCCAGGCAGATGGCGCAGGAGGAGGTGAGAAAGGCCTCTGGGTATTCCCGACGGTCCCCCTCCTGCAGTCCATTCGGGAGTGTAACAAACGAATTCATCAGCTCGTCAACAGAGTAGCGCGGGCGGAGACGCATCTCTGGCGCCCCACCTACAGTAAAACTAATCACAATCTGGTCGTGGGGACTGTCAGCCAACATGCGCGACAACCAAGGGAAGAATTCCATGAAGCTTCCAAACGTCTGCTCCTGCTCCTGCTCCTGCTCCTGCTCCTGCTCCGGCTGCTGCTGCTCCGGCCGCTGCTCCGGCCGTTGCTCCTGCTGCGCTCGCGCAATGGCCTGAAGTTCACGGTAGTGCCGTTCGTTCTGCACAACCTCAATGAGGGGCGAGTGGCAGACCGCACAACTTGTGGCAGCATCATTCACTTCGTGCGGATTGTAAAATCGATGACATACGTGACAGTAGTGCATGTCTTATGCAGCGCGGCGGGAAGGGCCGTAAGAAGGCAACGGGCGAAAGAAAAAAAAAAGGAGAATAAAAAAAAGGGAAAATAAGAGTAATTTGAAATGGAGAGGCAGCCTCGCTTCAGAGGAAGACATACAGACAAACACACACACACACACACACAGAGAAGGATGATGACGTGGGTGGTGAAAGCATTTTCTACCGCAGATACGGGGCGCAGGCATGTGCATTACATCTCCTCGCCCTAAACCCAAAAAAAGTATACCGCGGCCAAAAAGGAAAAAAAACAACGCTAGACAACATGTCCGCCCCGTCCATCCCGGGATACTCACGTGGATGCTGAAACACCTGTCGCCGCCCGGCTCAAGTATTGCAGGCCGTGCACAAGCCAGAGATCCACCCGAGTGAGGTACCCCTTCTCCACTGCGGTATGCACCATATCTACCACCCCGCTAGGCGTTATCGCCTCGGCACTTGTCTCCCCGTTGCTTTTTAGGTGCGCGACAATTATCTGCACAAGTTGCCGTTCCACCGCCTCTACGCGGTGCTGCTTCGCAAGTTGCTCATTGTACTGCTGTCGCCGCGCCTTAACCAACTTCTCTGTCGCCGCCTCACGATTGCTGAGGGCACTGCGGGAGTCCTGCGCCTCCGCCACATACGCCGGCGCGCCATCGATGAACAATTTTGCGTTGATTTGGGTCTCCGTCACATTTACTGCCTGACCACCGGGTCCACTCGCGCGTGCCGTCTCGTACTGCACCGTGGCACGCTGAGTGTTGCCAGCGAGTGTCGTGCTGACGTTCGGGCACACGGCGGTCAGTCTAAAAGGAAGCTTATACGTCGCCGCATCCATTTTCCCCGAAAGGAAGAGTGCCATGCCCACAGCGTAGGGGCCGAGAAACGTTTGCGAGGCGGTGGCTGTGGCAGGCGCGGCTACCACGTACCGCTCAGCCATTACTGGATGCAGCTCAAAACCGCATTCCCCAACAAAACTCTTCAGCGCCGCAGCATCGCCCTCAACAGTCACAAGAGCATCGTAATTTGCGTGTGGCAGTCGACTTAAAAGTAGGCGACGTACAATTGCCACATACGCGTGTGCCGCCGCACCATCCCGCATGGAGGCTGCCTCCCATGCGGTGTCCTGTTCCCGTTCATAGCATGACTGCAGGGCGGCGAATGCATCGTCGGAAAGTTCCTTTGCAGGGTCGCGTTCGGCGTCACACATTCGCGCCACATCGCTGCACAGCCGTGAGAATTGCAAGAGCGGGTCACGACGGCGAAGACGCTCGAGTTTTCGCTGGAGCGAGCGCAAGTTTTCTTCCTTTTCATTGAGTTGCGTCTGGAGCACATCACTGCGTTGCCGATCCTGTGCGGCGTCGCTCCGCTGCAGGCGTTGCACGGCGTCGCTGAGCACTTCATTCCTTTTCCGCACCTGCCGCCACTCCTTCTCATGCTCTTTCAGCTCCATGTTCTCTGAGTTGAGCAGCACGACGTCCTGCTCTACCTTCCGTAGTTTTGTGCGGAGGCTTGTGTCCGTTTCCCGCGCCTGCGCGAGCTCCTTTTGTAGCTTTTCAAACTCCTCCTCCTTTGCGTGAAGTTTGTCCCGGTACGAGTTCTTCTTTGCCCGCATCGACGCCAGCTCCGCAAAGAGCGCCTCGATCTCGGGGCCTAAGTTGATCTTCTTCAGCTCGTCAATGGTGGGGCCGGAGGAGCTGCCGCCGCCGACTCCCCCAACACCAGCGGCAGCGGCAGCGCTAGCGCTCGCCGACTGAAACAAACCGCTGAGTGTGTTCGTGTTCCCGGAGAAGAGCCCACTTGCGGCGCCACCAACGCCGGCGGACCTCGACGCCGCGTGCGGAGGGCTTTGCGGCGGCGGCTGCTGTTGGGTTTCCACACTCTTCAGTAGGCGCTCCATCACCTCGATGTTTTTCTGCGCGAGCCTGCCCACCCCTGGAATCCTGCCAAGCGTCTTCTGAAACTCCAGCGCCTTCTTCATCATCTCCATCTGCTTCTCGACTGGCTGGCTGCTGAGCATCTGCTGCATCGCCCGCAGCTTCTGCGCGTCGAAGCCGGGGGGAAGCTCACCGCGGTCGTTGCCGCCGCCTTTACTCCCTTCCGAAGTGTTTGCCTTGTCCGTGGGCTTGCGGCCGCCGCCGGTCACGAGACGGCGCCCCACCGCGTGGTGGGAGAGCCCGGCAAGCCCACACACGAAGCGGCGGCGGCGGTACATTTCACGGTAGGAACGACGGTCGATAAGAACTTCAAAACAAAACTCAAGCAACACCCCTGCGCCGCCGCAGAGAGAGGAGAGAAAGGGATGGAAAAAGGAGGCAGAAACACCGGTCAGAAGAAGGGTCCCACTAAACAAATGCACATAGAACCTCATGGGTTACTTTTGCATGTTTCTGCAGAAACCAGGCATTGCCGTGGACGGAACTGAAAGAATGTGACAATGATGGAACTCAAACCCCCCTCCCCTCGCAACCAGCTCCACATCCCGCAGGAAACAAGCGCACGGCAACTGGACGAATAAAAAAAAAGTAGACAGCAGCACCAAAAGAAAATTACACCCCCGTCCCACTCCCCTTTTGTTGCTGTTTTTTTTTTGTGTGTATGGGTGTGCGGTGTGCTTCGGTTTGTCAGGGGAAACACAGAGAGGGCCGTGCTCTCATTCCGCTGCCATTTCGGTGGCAGTTTCAACCAGGTTTGCTTGGCTCAGCGTCGCCGTTGACCTAGGCCTCAGGAGGGACTGTCGGCAGCAGCCCCCAGTCCCGCTTTGCCTCATCCATCGTTCGTGGGTATTTCGCCGGGTCGTCGCGGTCGGCGTACCAGTTGCTGAGGCCGGGGGCGTCCGCGCCGACGTAGCGGGGGTCGGGGCCGATGTCGTCCCCCTCCATCGTCCAGACTGCCTCGGCCATGATGCGCCAGGCGTTCGTGGTGTTCGTGAGAAAGGCGTACATGGTGTACACAGTCAGCAGGAGCACGTCACCCACCTCAAACGCCGTGGACACAAAAGGATTCACGTCAATCGTTATGGGGCGACCTGTCACCTCATCGATGCCCGCTTGTTTTCCCAACGGCAGCAGCTCCTGGGGGTCGTGCGTGTAGCATCCATCGCCCCGAATATTATCGTGCTCCACCTCATGCTGGCCGTACGTGCGTCGCAGCGCCGCGTACGACTCAGTGGAGTTGCTGCCCTTCACCACTACAGGCGTACCCATCTGAAACGGAATGTCATGCAGGGGGACGAGCGCCACAAGGGCCAACTTTGTCCCCTTGTTCAAGTACACGCTTGACATGCGAAGGCCGAATGTCTCCTGTGGGGCGGCGAGGTGCAGGGACTGCACGTCTGCGACCTTTACGGCATCTCCAAAGACCTGCCGCACGAGGGCCATTACACTTGTTCCGCTCACCGCGGAACGCAGGGCGTCAGTGTACTTGATCTGCGGCGGCGGCAGCTTCCCGGTGGACGGGAAAGGCACACCAAGGGTGACGCCGTCACGTGACACCTGCTCCGCCCGGTCTTCTGCACGCGTCCAGCCACACCGTAGCATTTGATTTCCCAAGTCATCAATCGCCGCGTCGAGGACGGGGCGGGGAATAACGTTCTTGAAATACAGGTAGCCATCCATGTCAAGGCGGTGCCGCAGCTTGGGTGGGTCGTAGTACAATTCATTGCTGGGCACAATCGCATGTAGGTCGTGTCCCAACGTCAGAAAGCTGGCGCCCAAGGGGAACTTTAGCCGACCATGGCGCCTGACCGCACATCTTCGCATGGGAGTCAGGCCAACAAATCAACACGTCAACGAACAGGCGACAATGTCACGTGTACGCCACCCACCGGCCCTTGTAAAACAGACCAAAGCAAACCAAAAAAAGGGAAGAAATAAAAGAGGAAGGGCTTGTAGTCACCTTGAAGTTTCGCTCCAGTTCCTGAACCGGGACGCTTCTGTGTCTGCTTCCTCTTCCGCTTCCTCCTCTTAGAAAGTTTTCCCCAGCAGGGCGGTAGTGGTGGTGGTGCGGGGTGGGGGGTGACGTAGCTCCCGAGGTCCACACGACACGCGGTGCCGCTCTCCTTCTCTTCCCCACGTGTGTGTGGGTGCTTCCCTTGCTTCGGTCAACGCAGGCGCCGGCCAGCCACCAAAGACGAAGAGGAAGGAGGACACAAGTTCACAGTGGGCACAAACACGCAAGGAGGGTGATGAAGGAAGTGACAGCTAAACAAAAAAAAAGTAGCCTAAATACAGGCGTTGGCGCGGACGGGCTGCGCACATTTGCAATGAGTGGGGGAAAGGCAAAGCCCATAGAGAGGAAGAAGGACGACAGCAGCCACCTCCAACGGGGGGGCTAAGCAAGCAGTTCAGGGCATCCGCCGCGGTCGCATTCATGTACAGTCCACCGTCTTCATGAATTTCCCTGCGTACAGCTGACGGAAGTTGTCCTCCGCTGAATGGCGCACGGCGCAGAGATCCGAGCGCAGCAAGAGATCCATGTCCCGCTTCGCGTCATGGAGAAGGACTTGGCCCTCCTGACGCGTGACCTCCGTGAAGGAGGCCAGCCGCACCCCTTTGTTGTCCACCTCATGCCACGTGACGCTTTGCCCATCACGGAGAAACGACCCGCCGTCGTACTTCCACGCCCGCATGCCCTTCTTCAGCGTGCACTCCTTTGCCTCCACGGTACACACGGAGGCCGCAAGAGAAAGGAGGAGGAGGAGAAGCGCGCAACACGACATATCCAAGGATAAACTTTGCCGCATATTTATATGTGCCCGTGCCCTTTTCTTATTTTTTTTTTCGTTGGAATAAATGCGGGATGTGTAGTCGGCGCCAACCGCTTGTTTCCTCGCCTCAGCCGCAAATGAGCCCCGCTTCTTCTTTCGCCGGTTTCCTCCACAGCAATTGCTGAAGCCGACAACCCTGAGGAAGGCAGGAAAGAAAAAGAGAAGAAAAAACAGAAACAAATAAGTCGCGTAGGGTCACAAGAGCACAGAGAGAGAAGCTCGGGCGTGTCAAGCACACAAGGCCCTACACCCACAGACACAGAGGCAGACGCCTGCATGCCTGCATCCACGCTGTGCCGGCATCCCGCCTGCTGTGGGCTCAGTGGCCAAATAAATTGGGTCTATGTCTGCAACCTCCGGGCGGCGTTGAAACAACAACGTGCGCCGCGAGGCCGGTCGTCTCACTCCTCGGGCCTCTACCGACGGCGCCGCCCCCACCACACCCTCCTCATCCTCCCCGCACCGCACACACACTCCCCGCGGGGGAGGATGAGGAGGAGACGAGGCAGGCCAAAGCGGCTGACACACACACACACACACACACAAACAGACATGCCCTGCATGAAGTGCGGCACGGAGAACAAACCGCGGAGGCGGCGCACACGGGAGGGCAAAAAAGTGAGAGGAACTGCAGCCGCATCTACAAAGAGGCGGAGGGGCAGAGCGGGTGTGTGTGCGTTAGACCTGCCGAGGGGGCAGACACACCCCAGGCGGCAGGAAGGGTAAGTCAGAAAGCGGGCAACCACACAAACACGCCGCCAGGCTCTCCCCAACTAATGCCCAAGAAAAAAAAACCAGGAAAAGAGTCGAGGGGCATCACGTAATAGAGAAAACTATCTAGGGAACCATGGAAACAAAACAAAACAAACAAAAAAGGAGGGAAAGCAAAAACAAAGAAACAAACGAAAACAACTAAAAAAAGGGGAAAAAACACATGCCAGTGTAATGTGGTAGTCTATAAACAAATAACAAGAATGGCTGCAGTCATCATTGACGGCGGTTTCCCTCTGCTAGCCTCGCGGCAGTTGCCGCAGCGGCAGGATTCTCCCTTTCGCCAGTGAGTTTCTCCACCTCGGCTTCCTCGCTGCTGCTGCTGCTTCTCCCCCTGCCGCCGTTGGGCGCACCGTCCATGTCACTCGCCGTCCGCTTGCGCTGCTGCCGCAGCAGTTCTGCCTCCACAGTCCGCTGAAAGCCCCGCGGCATCAACACCAACGTCCGGGTCACGTCCTTCACCTTGCACACTCCGACAAGCTGGTGGGCCATTTCAAACATGTTGTTGCGCAGGGAAATGATGATGAACTGCGCACCATTCGCTTGGCGCAGCAAATAATTTGCAACGATGGAGACGTTGCGAAAGTCTAGCGCGGCGTCAATCTCATCCATGACGTAAATCGGCGTGGGCTTAATGTCGTGCAGAGCAAAGATGAGGGCAAGGCTCGAGAGTGTCTTCTCTCCCCCGGACAGGTTGGAGATCTGCTTCCACGACTTCTTAGGCGGCCGCACGACGAAGTGGACGCCCTCAAACGGGTCATTCGCATCGACAAGCTCCAAGTCGGCATCTCCGCCGTGAGTCAGCAGCTGGTACACCTCCCGCAGCCGCTCCTGGACGCGCACGAAGCACTCCATAAAGCGACCCCGGCGTTCCTCCTTCAGCTCCTGCAGCCCGCGCTCAGCCGCGTCGGACGCCTCCTTGCAGCCAAGGTAGTACGCCTTCCCCTTGCGGTGCTCCGCGTCGCGCTCGCGCCAGAGCGCAACGGCGCGAAAGTCGATCTCACTGTGCAAGCGCTTCGTCTCCTCACTGAGCGACTTCGCAAGGCGCACCGAGTGCTCGTAGTCGCATCGCGCCAGCTCCTCCGGTGACAGTCGAAAGGACATGGCGCGTAGCTCTATCGTACTCGACGGTTCTTTACCGGACGGACGCCGCACCTCCTCCTCCTCCACCTCATCCTCCTCCGCTTCTTCTTGTTCCTCTGCTGCTCCGCCGCCGCCCTCATTCGCCTGCTCATTCCGCTCCTCCTCTGCAGGTAAGTTCAGCTGTAGTGTCTCTCTGCCGTACAGCTCTGCGTTTTCCCGTATTTTTTCCTCACAACCGTCAATCTTCTGCTCAAACTTCGCCAGCTCCTGCAGCGCATCTGCCATCTTCGCCGTCTCCACCTGGCGAAACCGCTCCTCGTCATCGAGCAGCTTCTGCGCCTCAATGAGGGCCTTGTGGGCGACCGGCAGAGCCGCCTTCACCACCTCCACCTCAGACTGCGCCTTCGCGAACTTTGCGTCCGCGCCGTTGTAGCGCTTGCTCCACTCCTCAGATGCCGCAATGGCAGCAGCAAGCGCCCCTGAGGCTCCTTGCGCCGCTTCCTCGTTAATCCGCCTTAGCTCCTCCTCTAATTCAGCAATGTCGCTCTGTTTACGTTGCTGAGTTGCACGAAGACGCTGAGACAAACGACGGCATTGCCGAATGGCATTTTCCTCGGCCTCCACACGCTCTTGCTGCACCTTTAGCTCCGCGCAGAGCGCCTTGTAGCCGGCGCCGCCGACATTGTCAACCTCCTGCTCAATCTGCTCCAGCTCGCTCTGGTGCCTGAGCCGTGCCTTCTGTGCGGCCTGTAGGCTCTTCTCTGCCTCGTCCATCTCCTCGAGAATGGTTTCCCGTCTGCTCTGACTTCCGGCGGTGTTCTCCTGCATCTCCTGCAGCAGGGCAGTACGCTTCTTGGCATCGCACTCCAACGTCGCCCGCAGCGTTCCTAGCTCAACGCGCAGCTTTGAGATTTGCTCCGGGGTGAGGTGCGACTGGCCCTGCCGCAGCTTGTGCAGCTGCTCCTGCGCCACGCGCTCCTCCTCCACCGCCTCCACCAGCTCAGCCTGGAGGCGTTGCAGGGCCACCTTGGCAGCCTCCTTGTCCTGCGGGGAGCGGGCCGCCTTCAACTTCGCCCCACGCGGCATGTTCCCACCGCCAGTGATGGAGCCCCCCGGCTCCGCCAACTCGCCACGCACCGTCACTACACGAAAACGCTGTGGGCCGCCGAACGCCACCTCCCGCGCCTCGCCAATGTCCCGCACCAGAAGCGTGTCTCGCACGGCCTGGTAGAAAGCAACACGGAAGCGCGCATTTGTTGGCACAATGTGCTCAAACAGACGCGTGGCCTTTGGGCTTGGGGACGTGAAAGGGGCATTCATGCGACCCCCGACTTCGCGTTCGATCTCCTTCAACACCATCATGGTGGCGCGACCAATGTTATTCTTACGTAGAAGCTCTAACGCCGCCGTGGCTGTCTCCCGGTCCTCAACAACGTGAAACCCCCATGCGTTACTCGCCACACCAGCGGCGATGTCGTACTCATCGGCAATGCGACCGAGCTGACGCAAAGTGCCATAGTACCCTTTAAGAGAACGCTGTGCAAGAAGAAACTCCATCGCACGATCATCCGCCTCACCTTCACGGTACGTGTTCTTAATCTCCTGTATGGCACTATTGACACTGTGCTTTCGCTCAGCTGCACCAGCTAACATCTCCTGCAGACGCTGCAACTCCTCCTTGTAGCGATCCTTGCTGGCATCGTGCAAAAGTTTTTCCACATCCGTAGCACGACATCTATTGCGTTCCGTGGCAGCCTCAACCTTTGCCAGCTGCTCTCGCAACATTAACCCTCCATTGTCAAGTGATGTTAGCCGACTGCGCGCAGTATTCAGCTGTTCTGTGGCTTCCACGACGGCTCTCTCGTAGGGGGCAAAGGCCGCCTTTCGCTTTTCAAGTTCTTGGCGAAGGGGCATAAAGACCGGGGCAAGCTCCTCGGTTGTGCTTTCGTACTCCTTCTGCAATTTCTCCACACGCTGCGTAGACTCTTCAAAGTTTTGCTGATGAATGACTAACTCTCGGTCCGCGTCTTGCTGCTGCAATTCAGCCTTCTGCATCTCCTCCTTGGCTCGCTTCATGTGATCCTGGGCCTTCTTCCGCGCCTTCGTCTGCTCATCGGCACCGGACTTGATGCGCTCCACTTCGGCATCGGCCGCCTCCTTCTTTGCTCGCACCGCATCCCGCTCCTTTGTGGCCTCTGCAAGCTCTTTTTTTCGCCGCAAGAGATCTTCATCCAGCCTCGTCCTCTCCTGCGAGCGTGCCTCGACACCCGCCTTCATGCACGTGATGCGTTCGTCGAGCTCCGTGAGAAGCCGCCGGGGCTCGGCGAGTTTTTCCTCCAGCGTCTGCATGCGCAGCTGACACATGACAATCAGCGTCTTCTGCAGGTGGTTGTCCTTGGTGACGAAGGCAACGGCGGAGTCCTTGGCGTCGTCTAGCGCCTCCCGCTCCGCCCGCAGCTTGCGCTCGCGATCGAGCGCCTCCAGGCGAGAGAGCTGCGCCGCCTCGGCGGCCTTGGACGCCTGCGAGATGCGCGCCGAGAAGCTGTTCGTGCCGATGAGGTCGTCAAGGTACTCCAGTAGACCCTCTTCGCCCTCGCGCTCTGCCTTTGGCTTCATGAGGGCGATCTGCTCCACCTCGCCCTGCAGGATGAGGAAGCGGTTGTGCTCCAGGTCGACGCCCTCCGCGATGAGCCTCTCCACCACCTCCCGCTGCGTCGTCTTTGCGCGATCGATGAAGTACTGCGAGGAGCCGCTCTTGTACACCTCACGCTTGATGGAGAGGAGGCTTCCCAGCACCTCCTGGCGGTGGTCCGGGTCGCCCTGGTTCTCCGGCGCCTCGGCAAGGCGCACAAAGTGCACCGTCACGGACGCGTACGCCAGACTGGGGTGGGCGGCGGAGCTGTGGATGAGCTCCGAGAGCTTCTCCAGGCGGATCTTCTTGGCGTTCTTGCCAAAGACAAAGAGCATGGCATCAATCACGTTTGACTTGCCCGAGCCATTCGGGCCAATGACCGCCGTGAAGGTTTTGTGAAACGGCCCAATGCGGTGCTTGCCGGCGTAGGACTTGAAGTTCTCCACTTCAATGTCGCGTATCACCATTCGAGTTCCCGTCTTCGCCTCCGACGCGGGCGCAGCTCCCCTGTCAGCGGCACTCATGGGCGTGCCAGACACACACACACACACACACACGCACGCACACACGCAGACCTACTTCATCCAGAGAACAAAGCAAAGTGAGGGCAAAGGAGGAGAAAATGCAAATGACACACGAACCAAAAGGAAAAGAAAAGAAAAAGTAATGGAAACAACTTGCACATATTTCCACACATATGGGCCACCCACCTCGGCATCCAACTCCATTATTGGGCGGAGAAGAGGCACGACACTCAGGAGCCAGCGCCGCCGCGGAAGCTTTCGCCGGAGCGGCATCGAAGGATACAGCCGCCAAGGGAACTGTAACTCTGAGGCGTGCGTGCACCAGCCCCCAGCAAAACGTGAGGTGGAAAGGGAGGGCGAGGGCGGTGAGAAGGGCAGACGTCAGTCCCGTGCCTGTGGTAGGTAGCTTGGCGCACGGAGGTGTAAGTCATCGGCACATTCATACAAATGCCTCGATTGATTGCATCAGGATGGCTTCAGGGGCTCGCGCTGCCGCCGTCGGCGCCGCTCTCGCGGGCCCGATTGAGACTGTCACTTCCCGCGACGGAGCGTCCGAAGCCGATTCCTTGAAAATCGCCTGGTTTTCTACAAATATTTCCTCCGTCCCCATGTGATATATATGTTCGTGCATGTGTGTCGGGGTTCACGGGATCAGCACACGCGAAAAGACGAGGCGAAAAAGGAGCACAATAAAAAGAAGGAGATGCCTGTAGGCGGCAGAGGGCACACAACATGGCGCAACACACTGGGGGCTGTCGAACCGCGGGGAGAGGCGCCTAAAGTGTACGTCCCCGCCTCTCCACTTACACTCCCGCAAAGTGTTCCTGGCGCAGAAAACCGTACGTATATATATATATATATATAAAAGATGAAAACGGCTGCCCACCATACGATTCAACGCCCTTTGTGCTGCTCTTTCTCCACTGCCTCACCTCTGCCCCTTTCCCTCCCTCCTTCGCTGCGCTCCTACCACACACAAAGGAAGTGGGAGGTGAGTGCAGTGTGTCTCACGCAAACGCACACACACACACACACACATACAAGCACGCACGCTGCAGGAAGCTACAAAATAAAAAGCGCAAGCTACGCGTCTTTGCTACTACTACTTCTGCTTCTCCTCCTGGATGTACTCCCACCGCTGCACCATGATCTTCTGCACCGCGAGGAGGGCGTTTTTGGCCACCTCTGCGTTCGCGTGCGACATCAGTGACATGACGCGGCCCTTGACACCCTCCATGCAGGGGAGAAGCAGCAGCGCCTTTCCGGTCGGGTGGTGGCGGACGACCTCTCCGAGGTCGTAGCAGGCCACGGCGAGGGTTAGATCCTGGTGGGTCGTCATAATGATCTTTCCCAGCGCCGCCAGCACCTCGTATTCATTGTTCTCAAACTGCATGGCGTTTTCCTTCCAAAACTTGACGCTGGTGTGCACCGGCGACCACTCCAGCTCCCCGCTAAGCACCTCGCCCCGATACTCCGAAAAGCTTGTGAGTTTCTCCATGCTGTGCTCAAGCACATGCTTAAGTTCAGTGATGAGGATGCCGATGTCCTCATCGCCAAACTTGCGGCGGGAAAGTTGTGCAAGCGTCTTTATCATGCCTACCCCAACCATTTCCGCAATAAAGGCAGGCCCCTTACCGTCGTTGACGCGGCACAAGTCACAGATGTCGCCGCTTACCCACTCCGTCGCGGAGGGGTTCGAAATGTGGTTCATGTAACGCCGCTCCGCCGCCACCATATTCCACAGCGTCATCAGCGCCACCCGGAGACATTTTTCCTTCTGCAGACGCTGTAGGACGCGATGAATGTGCGGAATCATCTGGTACTGCTGCAGCTGCGCCACACCCTCATACTCGTACGAGAGCAGCCAGGAGACAAGCAGCGTCACGTAAATAAGTTGAATGATGCTGGCCGAGTCATTAGCGACAACGTCAAAGAGAAGACGCGGAAGGAACTGCACCATGTGCTGTTCAAAAAAGCTGTGACGAAGCGCCTTGTTGCGGGCCACAATGGCGCAGCCCTGCACCGCAAACGCCACCGCGGACACCTGCAGCGTCTCCGCCGAAAGCACGTCGGTGACGTGGGCAAAGAAACGTTGCAGAGCCTCCGCATTCTTCTCCTTCGGGCCGTAGCGCAGCGCCGTCGCGGCGAGGAACAACGCCGGGTCTGTGACGCCGAGGTCTCCCCGGTGGGTCACGACGAGGTACAAAAAGGATTTCGCTGGGTCATCCCCAAAAGTGTCCTCGGCGGAGGGCGCGCCAAGCTGCTCTCCCAAGGCGCTGCAGGTCAACACGAGATCCGCAAAAAAGCGCAGGACGAAGCCAAGGAGTTTGGCGGAGTGGGCTACCTGCGTCGTTTTGAACAGCGTCACGGCAACGGCCTGGTGTTTCCCGTCGAGAAGCGAATGCAGCATCTCGCTGTTGGTGGGGCAGTTAAAAAGATGCTCCATCAGCCGCAGCGTCGGCTCACTCGCGACGCGCATCTCACGCATGTGACGAATCGCGTCAGCGGCATCAGCCGTGAGACAAGACATTCCGCTTTCCTTCCCCACCTGTCAGTTCAATGCGCCCTCCCTCACTTCCTACACTCGCGTGGGTGCGTATGTTTTTTCGTTTTTTTTCTATTTTCCCTTTCCTCCTTCCCTCCCTTCTTTTATTATTCCTCCCGCTTTGCTTCCTTTTGTGGTTGCCTCTTCTTTTCGCTCACTTGCAAAGGCACGGGCCGCAGCCAGAGAACGCCGAGTACGTGCCGGGACTCTGCCGGCCGTAGCGAGGCAGCAGAAGCGAAGAGGCGGATGGAAGAAGAAACGACTAGCACGCAAAGAAACCGCCAGCGAAGTCACGCAATTGACAGACGCGACAGGGGAGGAACGAGGTGGAGGTGGGCGCGGACGCTAACGGTGGGGCAGTTCCCCCCCCCCTCTCCCCATTTCTCTTCGGGGTGGCTGCCTCTAAAAAGAAGGAAAAGAACGGTGCCTGTACTGCACACACACAAACACACATGCGTATTCACGAGGGGGAGGAGGAAGGCACCGCCACAGCCAGGAATAATGGCAG